TAACACAGGAACCAGACTCCTGTTTCCTTTCCAATAAACAGTTCCTGCTACCAGCCCAGCAAAAGGGAAGGACTGCATGACCAGAAAGAAAATGGGCATCCATTGCATTTTTATTTTTCCCTTTTCAAATGGACTAGAAGCATCTAACAGAATACGTGGATGGAAAATTCCACCAGCTCCTGGGCTTGGCCTCACGCTGCTCTGCCTCACCAACTCTTTAGACAGGTCCCAGAGCAGCCTGCTGCCACCTCATCTCTTCCAGATGGGGACCAGCCCTGGGTCCAGCTCTCAGTCTTTGGTCCTCATCACTGCTCCATCTACATCCACCTCCTGGGTGAGCTCGTGGTGTTACCTCCCAGCTACATGTTGACAACTCTCTATTTCCATTTCTACCCCACACCTTCCTCACAAGCTCCAAACTTGGATACCTATCTTGGATGTCCGCTAGACTTCTAAACTGAGCATTGAAGAAGCTGAGAGCATAGAATGAAGTTCCTGATCCTCCCTGAAACATGATCTTCCCCCAGCCTTATCTTCATTCCAACCTTCCAGTTGCTCAGGTCAGAACTCTGAAGTCATCCTCAACCCATCTCTTCCACCTCCCTCCATCAGACAATATTGGGAACTCTGCATTCAAAACATGTCCCCACTGCTTCTACACAGGCTTTTATCTGGATTGCTGCAACAGTCTCCTAAGCTCCCACTCCTCCCCAAAGCCTGTTCCCAACAAAGAAGATGGAACAAACTCCTAAGTCAGACCAGGCCATACATTTCTTTGCTAAAACCCTCCAGTGGTTCCCTCACTTCACTCAAAGTAAAAGCCAAAGTTCTACAATCGCATAAGGTCTTACAGGGTCAGTGGCTTGCCTGCCTCCTGTGCCCTCATCCCTTCTACTCCAAAGACACTCTTGCCTGCAGATCTTTTCACTGAATGCTCCCTGCACTGCTCTTCTATCACTTACTAGATTGCCCAACTCCTTTAGTCAAGTGTTATTTTTCCAAGGACACCTGTGCTGACAGACAGCTCTATCGCAACCAGGCTCCCATTTCCTCACTCCCACCCTCACCTGTGATCTGCTTTGGTTATTCTTTTCTACCCCATTTATCACTTCCTAACATTTCATATAATTGGCTTGTTTTGCTTATTGCGTATAGCTCACCCCTTCCTGGCTAGAATATAAGCAATACGAGGGCAGAGATCTTAATCCGTTTTATTTACTGGTTTATCCCAAGGGCCTGGAACTAGGCCAGGCATACTTTTGTTAAATGAATGAAAGGTTGAAAGAATGGCCAGAAGCTTTACACTAGGGCCCTTGCCTTAAGTGAGAGCTTTGGCATACTCCATGATGTTCTATGAGCTGTAAAAAGAGCAAACCTAGACCAAGTCCTGCTTTAGGATTCTACAGCCCACATGGGATTGTGAACACTCCATGCTGTACTGTGGGCCTGGATGCACTTTTGACCAGTGGCCCCCTACTTTGATGGCAGTGTATAATGTACCCAAACCTGCCAGTTCACAAACAACACAGCAAACAAATGTTTATCATTGCCACTGGAGTGGTACTGAGGTCAGAATCAGACACTGGGCCTTTCAAACTTTTGGTTCTTGCTTTAAGAAAATCCAATCTGGGGAAAATATCACTAGACAGCCTCATGGCAGGGCTGATGGGTCACTTTGCAGGAAGATTCCTGATAGATCTCCATGACCCAAGGAGCCCTCCCCAATGCAGACTTTAGAAAGCCTGATCCAATTTGCCAGAATCCACCTGGTCTTATAGGTAGCCTAATATAGAGGAAAAGCACTGGGCTGGGAGCCAGGAGACCAGGGTTCTAGGCTGACCTCTGCCCCTCACTAGCTCCGTGACTCTACACAGGTCATCAGCCCCCACTTGGGCCCATGTCCTAAGTGTTGACCACACGTTCGGTATAGCACTGTGGGCTGAGCATTGTGAGACGATGCTGCTCTGAGCAATGCAAACCCACATGGTACCTACCCAGCACCTCTGCCATCATCACACCCAAATGCATCCCTACTTACAGAGGGAGACACAAGGTTCACAGGGGCTAACACCTGCCTATGGTCTCACAAGAGCTGGTGGCAGCACCAGCACTGTCCTGGAAGTCCATCTCTGGAGCCTATGTCCTCCAGCAATAGCCATCCTACCAGTGTGGTGACACAGGTGCTGGGAGGAAGCAAGTGCCCAAAGCAGAAGGGAACAGGAGAGGGGAAGTGAGGTCTGGGAGGCTCTGAGAGCAGGGTACAGGAGGATAAACAGGCATCTGCCAGGCAGATGGGACCACAGGAGGTATCTCAGGTAGGAGGGCTAACACAGTTGGGCAGAAACAGGGGTCAGGGAAGACTCCAGTGAAGGCTGAGGATAAAAGGGCAGGCAGGGGCCCAGGGGTGGCAGATCTGGTGAGTCACCCTCAGAATTGAGCATTATCCTGTATGTCAATGCTTTCCAATCCCAGATCCACATTAAAACCCTGGGAGATTTGAAAAATACCATTATCTGCTAGAAATGATGGCTAATCTAGTGGTAATGAGTACTCCTACTACCATACTGTGATCCCCAAGTACTATTTTCCAAGAAAAGGAACAAGGGCTCCTTGGTACAATGACAGACTGTAGCACAAAACGAGCCCAGAACACTGTCATGCGACACAACAAGGAACAGCCAATGAAGCCTGGGCCTTGTTAGGACTCAGAAGCCCACCTGAAGGGGCTCCCATTGGCAAACAGTGACATCAAGAAGGATCGACAAGGAAAAGGACTGCACATCAAGACACATCCAAATGCTTAAACCCATGAGTTTTAAAACTCTCATTAGTTACCACTATTGGAAGATGCAAGTGAACAAATTTGGTATCTTGAAAACACAAATATAGAGAAAGAATTGACCAATCAGTCAAGCAAACAATTGATCAATCCGTTTCTATACAAGCTAAGTTATAAAAAAATGGAAGGAAGTGTGCCAGTTAACAAAGAAAAGATAGACTGTTGCTACATTGCAACCCTTCAATAATCAGCAGATGTAGATGTTAAATATCAATGGCTGCTACCATCTCATAGATAGTCTATAATCCCTGTCTGAAGAATACAAAACCACTTATGAAGTCAGGAACACACATGCCCCAAAATGGAAACTGAATCTGATCACATACCTAGATCTAGCTAGCAATTTACAAGAAACACTGAGGAACCTAGTAAGTGACTTGGAGAACTCTGGAGAGACAACAAACCATCATAAGGGAGGTGGTTAGAGGGTTGCCTACAGTCAAGAAAAAGATCAACCATCGGCAATGTGTGGGCCCACACACCAGTTAGTTCTACAACCAGCAAAAACATGAATTAAAAATTAAAAATCTGAACACTGACTAATATTTGATGATAGTAAAGAATACTTTTTACAGTTGTGATAATAGTATTGTGGTTAGTTTTTGTTTGTTTGTTGCAGTGCTGGGGATCAAACTCAGGGCTTTGTGCATGCTAGGCAAGCTAGCAAGCTGCTTGTGCTACCACTGGGCTACATCCCCAGCCCTTAGTTTTGTTTTCTAAGAGCCCTTATTACTTAGAGATACATACTGCAATGTTCACAGATGGAATAATCTGATAGCAGAGATTTGCTACAAAATGCTGCTAGGTAGGGTGGGGGCCTAATGAGGCAAGATTGGCCATGAGTTTGCTAATTGCTAAAGTGGGCTGATGGGTGCACATGGGTTCATTATATGACTTGGCTGAATTTTGCTTTTTATAGTTTGAAACTTTCCATAATAAAAAATTATAAAAACACTAGGCCCCACCCCCGGAGATTCAAATTCATTAGTCTGGGCTTCAACTCAGGCACTGGTAGCTTTTAAGGCTCCCCAGGTGTTTTTGATCCTCAACCAAAGTTGAGAACTATTTTAAGCTTCATGCAAGCAATGCCACAGCCTGTGCTAGGACTAGGACCTGCACCAATGCAGAAGCAATAGGGGAGGGAACTGGCCAGGAGGTCAAGGAGCTGATCTCATGTCCTTGAACATGGAGGAGAAGGAGGAGTTTCAGTCCTTGTAAAGACTTCAGGCTCGGGTGACTATTGGGTCCTGTCACTGGAACAGGAAATGTGTCAGGACAGGGGGGTTTGGAGACCTGGGATAAGGGACTGAGTGTGTTGGACATACTGACTTTAGTGAGCTCAAGTGACTTGGGTGGAGATATCCAGTGGAAAGTAAGTTTGTGGGTCTAAAGAGCCAGATGGAAGTCCTGGAAGACACAGAAACTTGAACCCAGCAGGGCCATCCCAAAGAAGGGGTATGGCTTCAGCCAATGATGGTCTGAGAGTCCCTAGGAATGAACAGCGTCTTGATCCTGCCCCTGGGGGCTGAACCTTTCCTTCCATTCCTCACCTCCCCATCCCTTGCCCTTCTTCCTCAGACAGAAAAAAAAGAAAAAAATGCCTAAAGGGCATTTGGCCAGGCTTTGAGGACAAACCTTCCTGGGTAAGGACTGAGGACATTTGAATATTTCCACATCCAATCCCAAAACCTTACGCAAATCAAGCCATTTGTTAAGCAAAAGAGTGACAGCACAGCTGAAGGAAGTCCCAACAGCAGTAGGCATGGCCACATGAGACTGGGACCATCTGAGCCTTCTGCTGTAGGACTGACTAGAGACAGTAATGAGCGTTCATTCCCCAGGCTTTTGTCAGGGCCTGTGTGCTCCAGACTGTGCTGGGTTGGGGTGAACAGGAAGCCCAGAGCCCAGGGCTAGCATTCACGTGGGGAAGCTAGTAAACAAAACCCTGCTAGCTTAGAGTTTTATCAAATGGGCTCTCAGCTCAGGGCAAGGAGGCAGAATCCAGGAGTTACCTCTGGATGTTAACAAACTTTCCACTTTGTTCTTCAGTCTTCCAAACTATGAGGCCTATCTTTCTTTTCTTTGGGCGACAACTATTGCTAATCACAGAAAACCTAAGGGCTGTCCTCCCCTCTTCCTCCCCCCAGGGACAGGGACTTACCACTGAGTCCAGGAACTGAATGTAGCATTCCAGCCCAGGCCTGGTTTCGCAGAACTGCCGGAAAAGCAGCCTCCCGATTGGCTGCTTGTCACATAAACTGCAGTAATCTCTGTCTGGAGACAATACAAGAAGAGTGTGATGAGACCAGGTGAGGGCCAGACAGGGCCAGGCATCACCCTACACCTGGATTGAGTCCTGGCTGGGTAAAGCAATGTAATGGTGAACCCTCAGGCATATCACAGACTCTGCAGACCCAGAGGACAAGGCCAGTTCTGAGGATGTGCCAATCACTATCTAGCATCTACTCCCCACCAGCTGCGCCTTTCCAATGTCCCAGTTTCTGTACGGAGATGCCAGTGGTTCTGGGGACTATGGCTCCATCCCCTGGCTGGCCACTCAGCAGGACACATTCTCTGGTTCTGACAACTGGATGAGAGTGGTAAGCACGTGACCTAAGCCAGGCCAATCAGTGTGAACTGCAGGTTGGCTGAGAACTGAAGCCTGGCAGAGGAGCTGTCTCCCTCTGGAGGCCAGGTGCGTGGGTATAGAGCCAGGGTCTGCATGGAAAACCACTGTGAGGATGAGGCTGACCCCCAGGAGAGGTCAGAGCTGGGAAAATGACAAAAGCAGAGTGATGTCCAGATCTCTGGATCAAACCATGCCTGCAGCCCAAACCACATCTGAAAAGCTTATTTATGAGGCAACACATTCCCATTGTTTAGCACAGTTTGAAAAGATTTTAAATTACTTATAATTCAAAGCATCCTGGTGGATACAGTTTAAAAAAGTCATTTTTACCCAACTGGAGCAAAGCCCACTCTTCAGATGCTTCAAATTATGAAAACCCTGCATTTTCCAGCTGAGGAACTATAAGCACAGAGACAGGAAGTGACTTGCCCTTAGCCACTCAGTAGCCAGGAGGTTCTGCAGAGGAAAGAGTAAAAGACTTCCAGCTCCAGGGCCAGAGGCATGCTACCCATGAGTTGATTTGTTACTTCAAATAGCTTACCCTCTCTGAGCCTCAGTTTCCTCTTTTGAAAACCAAGATCACATGTCTGGAGTTGGGACAGGGGCCTTTTGGTTTTTCCTGCAATGACGCCAAAGGCTCTGCAAGAAGTTTTCCCTGGCCAGAAAGATGCTCAAAGTGCTGACTGAGACACAATGCCTCTGACTCTCCGAGCACAGAATGTCCAGCCTTCCATTTTGCAGCAGCACGGGAAACTGTGATAGAACTCTGAAAGTGACATGATGGAAAGGAAGGGCTGTATCTTTGCCAGGTGAAGAAGAACCAGGAAAATGCCCCAAGAAAGGGTTTCTGTGGAGATATGGGACCCAGGGAGGTTGTGTGAATACAACTATCATGCTGGTTCATTTTCACTCTGAGTACCTAAGAGTGTTTCTACAGTATGGAAAGAGATATTACTTATAGAAGGGAAGCACCTCATGGTAGCTGTGCTTGGGCTCAGGGTTCAAATCCCGGTCCTACCACTCACTGCCTGTGTGATCTGGTGCAACTGACTTGATACTTTGTTCCTCTATTTCCTTGTCTGTCAGCTGAATATCATCATAATATGGGATTGAATAAGACAACACATAGAAACTACTCAGATTAGTAGGTGCATAGGAAATGCTTAATAAACATCACTTGTTATTATCCTGAATGTGGGTTTGTTTTTTTGGTTTGCTCTATCTCCCTTCTTTTAGGGAACCTCTTCTCTCCAAGCCCTGACCAACCCTTCTGATTCTGAGGAAGCCAATGCCTTCCAGATTTTGGGGATAGGAACATGACTCAATCTCAGTCAATCAGTGGCCTCTATCCTTTCAGCTACAATGATAGGTTCAGGGATGGACATGTGATTTGACCCCAGCCAATCAGAACCTTCAGTCTTCTAGTCACAATGATGGGGCCAAGGATGGGCAGGTGACTCAGTCACAGCCACGTGGATGCCTCTGTCTTCTAGTCACAGAGATAAGTTTAGGTAGAGGCCCATGACTTGGTCCTAGACAATGAGGTCAGGGCACGTGACCTGAGTGGGTCCTGGAGTCCTGGCAGGGCTTTTGCTAGAAATTCGTAGAAAGATACTTGCTCATCTCTGGGGTGACAAGGCCTTAGGGCAGGTCAGACTGTCTTTCCTTCCAGGTGAGAGTCCATGGAAAATGAAGCAGCACGGGGCAAGCAGCTGAGCAGAGAGGAGCCCCAGGAAGTAGCCTTCCAGAGGCCAACCTTGGGCCTGGACATCTGTCTACTTGACAGAGACCCTGCTTCATCAGGGATCCTTGGTGTCTGTCTCTAGGAACTGAGAGAGCAGTGAGTAGGCACTCTCCTTTCATGAGCAAACTGCCCAAGGGTAGGGACTACTTTGTTAAGAATTCACTAATGCAATATCACATGTAGAAAGCATTAAAAAATGTCCCATTCTCTCAAGTGGATACTTTGATCAAATGGATGAGAGTCCATTTGGACTCCTCCACTTGGCCCCTTCCCAAATGCTTTGGTGGCTTAGGCCTGCATTGGACTCTTGCTTAGTTCTACCCTTCAATGTGGGCACTGGCTCCACCTCTCCAGGCACAGATGGTTCACAATAGCCACTCCAACAAGCATTTAGCCTTAATATGTGCCAGGTTCTGAAGGGGTAGGGAGGTGGGCTACTCTGCTGGAAGGGGCAGCAGGGATGTGTGTGGGTGAGCAGACAAGATCCCAAGTGACAGTTATGAAATGTCAAGTCAGATGAGTGTTATTGTCAGACACAGGAGGGACCCTGGGCTCCAGTGGCCTGTGACAGGTCTGTAGCTTGCACCTGTTAGCATGAAGCCCTGTGCACAGCCCTCCTGCTAACTACCTCCCACTCAGCCTGACCCCCCAGGGGAGGAAAACAAGCCTTCACATCCTTCCCCAATCAGAACTTTTCCAGCACAAACACAGAAGCAAAGCAAATTACCTTGTGTCAAACTTTGGTTTTATTCAATTATGGAAGAGAATGCAGTGCTTCTTATGTGATTTGAGCAAGGTAACCCCCTGCCATTTCCCAAAAGCAATTATGAGATTTCATGTACCACATTGTGATTCCTTAAGAGTTCATCTGACAGGATTCCTTCCTCTCCATATGGCGTTTACTGTCAGTATGGAAACAAGGCTGTTACAAACTCACAGCACAGTAAACACCATGTGATTTTGACACAAGCTGTCAGTACCTCAATTCTCTGCCTCTTATGACTGCACAGAGGATCCCAAGCAAGAAAGCCACTCATTGGAAACTCAGGAAGGACTAACAGGACCAGTAACCATCATTCTAGGTTTTGTTCTCAGCTTCCAATAAAGATAAACAGGCCGTCTTCTAAAGAAGCTCCCAAAACAACAAAAGCAACATGTCACGTTTATAGTTCCTGTAGAAAAAGACAAGGAGGCCGTAGGAAGAATATGAATTTCAGACTGATCAAGGTGACAGGGTAGCACAAACCACAGTTCTTGATGTGGGAAGGGCTAACCTGAGCTACAGGAGCTACTAAAAGTCAGGTGACACTGAAGTTGGAGGCACAGGAGCTTGGGGCAGACCCTTGCCAATCAGTCTCAGCAGACTGGCCATGCTGCTGATGTCCAGGTTGTAAAGGGGCTGCCCCTGTAATAGCCTGCCAGGACCAATGATGATGAGTGCCAAGATAGGAGAAGCCTTTTCTCTCTGTCTTGAATCTCTCTGTGTCTCTGGATGGGATAACCTGAGATGCCGTACACATAGGTACACAAGCACTGCACACGCACTGCGCACACACACGCGCGCGCATTCTTCTAGAATATGGAATTCCTTCTTGGGGCCATGTGCCTTGTTGATGTTTTCCTTTGTGCCTCAAAGTATCTATGAATCACCCAATCACTCTAACTTTGTTCTTTTGGATCCTTCCTTCCTTCATTCATTCATCAAACTTTATTCCAAAATCTCTTGCTTTTTGATACTAGAAGGTTCCTTTCATTTTAAAGGTCACTTCTTGAATTCAGGACTGGTTCTGTCCATGACAGGATGCCACTGAGCAGACCTTCAAGAATAGCTTAAAGGAAATGGAGAAGTGGCAGGTGCTTGGGGCTGGAAGGTAAGGCATGATGGAACCTGCAGGCATTAGCAGGTGCTATTGATCAGTGGTCAGAAGGGTGATCACTGTGATGCATGGAACTATCTGGCTATACACATGCAAGCACACAGGCACATGCACACACAAAAGCAACACAGAGTACAGAATTCTCTTCCTTCTCTACTCACCTGGGTAGAGAAGCATGACACTTGCCAAGCTGCCAGCCAACAGAGGGTACAACAAGTCAAAGGGCCCTATCCTCACCACTTTTCCCAGTGATGATGGGTGCTTTACCTCAGGCTCCCCTCACCTCCCAGCCTGTTCTCACAATAAGCCACTATCTGCACAGCCATATCAGGTCCATTGTCAAGGACACCATTGTGAAAGAGTGCTGGGCAAGGGCATTCTTAGCTCTGCCACCAATTCTCCATGTAACCTTGGGTAAGCCACTTCCCATTCTGGGCCTCAGTTTCTTCAACTATAAAATAGGGGATCAGAATAAACAGCTTCTGAGATCCTTTGCAGCCTGGGGACCTCCTTGGGTACCAGCTTCACGAAGGCAAATGATTGAAGACACAGATCAGATTCCAAAGTCAATTCTGGAGCTCAGTTTTAACCAGGATTCCCTCTGTTTTTGTCCAGTCCCAGTGGGGATTCCAGGTGTGGCATCTCCCTCCCTGGTTCTTAAGGGAAAGGTTGGCAAATGTTTCTATAAAGACTAGTAGCAAACAGTTTAGCCTTCGAGGGCCATATGGCCTGTGTCACAACAATTCAACAGTATATTTATAGTGAGGACCTCCCTGACAATAAATCAATTGTCTATGGGTGTGGCTGTGTCTAATAAAACTTTATCTACAAAACCAGGTCAAGGGCCACACTTGGTATACACACTTATCCCTGTTGTTCCCAGCCCCCTGGGCTTCTAGTACTGTACAGTCTGACACTGACCCAGGCTTCTCTTTCAGCCAGCGGCCAGGAAGCCCTTAGATGCTTGAAAGGACCAAGGAGTTGCTGCTGAATGTTGAAGAAGTCCATGTTGCTTGAGCCCAGGATCA